TCTTTAAGCATTTACTTGTAACCACCTGGGGCCAAACACCTTTTAAGAAGGCTGCCCAACCTTTTGGGATGAGCACTGGGTGTTGTATGGAAACCAATTTGACAATAAATTTCATATATTGAAAAAAAAATTAAAAAAAAAAATAAAGAAGGCTGCCCAGTGAGCCCCGTTCCTCTGGTCAGTGCCTTAATGACCCAGATAATTCCTGGAGCTTCATCAGCCTTTCTCCCACAGCGTGACCCAACCTTCTTTGGTACAGGTACCAGACCTACGCTGGGTTAGGGACCTCTTCCTAGGCAAATGTGGAATCAGGACTAAGAGATTCTAGTTGGAATCAGTTGTTTGCTTAAGTGGGGAGAAATAAAGTAGAAGCTTCTGGAGGAAGGTGAAATGCAGAGAGAAGTGAGCTAAGAGATAAAGAAAGGGTACTTCTTGACTCCTCTCAAAGTTCCAGTCTTTGGCCCCTGCTTCCTTCTAGGCTTGGTGTCCAAATCTTCCCTAGATTCCATAGGATTCACAAAAGAAATTCTCATTATTGCTGAGGCAATGGCAACTGTTGTTTTTTTTTTTTCTTGTGACCAAGACTGCTACCTAATATAGTCACTTCCAGTAGTGTGCACAAGAAAATGAGTAAGAACATGGGGGAATGTTGTGAGAAAGAAGGGAAGGGATGACACAGGTAGTCAGTACCTCTTTGTTTTCCACAACAAGGGTTCTCTCTGGTTTCTCGCAATCATCAAATTCTGGTTGCCAGACCACTTCTTCTAAGTCCAGATCTAAAATAATTTCTTGAATTCTTACATTTCTTTCCTTCACACGTGCAATTTCAAACTCTTTTTGTTTATATGCAGCATCAAACTCATTGTTGAAAATAGTTTTCACCTTGTAAATGACATCCTGAAATAGCAATATGATACTGTGAACACATCACATTATATGGTAACATGATCTCATGTTTTTACCTTCCCGCCAAATCAATTTACAAACTCTCAGCAAGTTAATCATTCTTTTAAATTTTTTTATTTATTAAAATTTTTAATGTTTTGTTTACTTTTAACTTTTTTTTAAAATATGAAATTTATTGTCTAATTGGTTTCCATACAACTCCCAGTGCTCATCCCAACAGGTA